GTCAACTTGAACAAGAAAGGACATGATATTTACACCTATTGCAAATGTTGTGGAGAAGGTAATGAAATAGTTGAACACATTTTATTAACATGTCCCAGAGCTTGTAGATTATAGGATCTTGCCTCTGTCTCATGGGATGAGATCACCCAATATGACAGTTCTTTTAAGCATTGGTGGCAAAATGTGTGTTTCCTAGCCAAATCAGAGATATCAAGCCATAGAATACAACTCACTACTTGTTTGCTCTGGTGGCTGTGGAAGACTCATAATTTGTGGATTTTTCAAACATCTCTTATTCAGTTCATTTGGTGATTAGAACGGCCAAACTGATTGGCAGGACTTCATGTTTTGAGTTCATGTTGAAACATTAACTCAAATACATTAACGGTAATTACGACAATGATGCCATGTCAGTAGTCTTCATTATGTATTATTCATTATGTATTATGCTTTCAACTATATATTACGCCTGCTATAACACAAACAAGCGAACACATACAGACTTAGTTATCATCTGAATTGTTACTCAATTTCCAGGAAAGGAATGCAAAATAATATAAGGGTAAGCTTGTAGTTGTCGTCAACATTTGACATTAGTTTGATACCATAATCCAACAGTTCCAGTGTTATGTGAAAAGGTATGTACCCATCTGCAATTGTGGGATGATGGTTTCAACATCTTTTACGCCAATGATGCTAACTTCGACAACTTCTGTTAAGTAACATGCTTGAGGCAACTGACAAAAAGAACGGCGATATTGCTCGAGATTGTGTATTGGAGTCAAATTGCATGATGACATTGATGAAACTCAAAATACTGTTGAATTAACTTATGAGGAGAAAGTCTTCGTAAGTTGATGAAACTCATAGACGTCTTGCCAATGTTGGTATGAAAAATAAAAAACTTGAACTACGTAAACTTGAAATGGAGAATACCAGGTATGAAATTGGGCAAGTCCTACGAGGAGGAGGTGAATGAGAGGGCGTCATCTTCGAACCAGACAGTGTCAGATTATATTGATTTGGAAGAGGGTATCCCAGGAGGTTTTAGCAACCCAGGTCGGTCAAGGGCATCATCTTGAGAACCCGTAAACCGACCAAGGCTGCTAAAACCCGAGATACAACTCCGTCAAATCAATGTAATCT